AATCCACCTATTAAACGAATATCTTGTGAATTTTGTATATTATGACACATAAATAATAATGCTTTAAATAATGCATGAGTTAAAAGGTGATTTATAAAACCCTATTGATAAAATCCTCATTATTAATCCTAACTGTCTTAATGTAGAAAGAGCAATAGTTTTTTTAAATCAAATTCAAAATTAGCCCCTAATCTAGCTATAAACATAGTTAAACCAGATAATAATAGTAACAATTGACCTAAAAAAGAGTTATATAATAAAATATTAAAACAAATTAATAAATAAACACCAAGATTTGAAGAATGAACTAAAGCAGAAACAGAGTTGGAGCAGCTATAGCAGCAGGTAACCAAGAAGGAAAATGAATTTTAGCTCTTTTTGTTATAGCATCTAATATTATTAATCCTCCAATTACTTCTATTTCAATTCTATTTTTCATTGATTCTAAATAAAAATTATAATTCCAACTCCCATAATTTAATATTCAAGCAATAGCAAGTAAAAAAGCAACATCACCAATACGATTTGATAAAGCAGTTAATATACCAGCGCTCCAAGATTTAACATTTTGAAAATAAATAACTAAACAATAAGAAACTAATCCTAATCCATCTCAACCTAATAAAATTCTAATTATATTTGGACTAATAATTAATAATATTATAGATAATACAAATATAAGAACTAATATAATAAAATATTAATATCGCCACTTATATATTCTTTTCTATAATAAATCACTAAAGAAGCAATTAAAAAAACAAAAGATATAAATAATAAACTTATTCAATAAAATAAAATAGTTATAACAATTCTAGAAGTATTTAATGAAAAAAATTCTCATTCAAAAAAAATACAATAATCTCTTAATAAAAGTCTTAAACTAAAAATAAATTAATTAATTCTAGTTCTCAATAAAATCGAAATATTTTTTCACGATTTTAAATTACATATATCATATCATTGACACCACAAATCAATGTTTTAAATAAACTATTTAAATTTTAGAGTGAAAATATAAAAATTTCACTTTTTAAAATTAATAAATTTAAAGGAAATCAATGAAGTATTAAAATAAATATTCACTAAATTAATAAATTAGAGAAAACCCCTTTCCATGTTGTCTATATGCATGCAAATATAAAGTATATGCAGCTCTAAACATAGATAATAAAGATAAAGAAATTATAGTTAACCATGATCAACTAACGATTCTATTTAATAAAGAAATTTCACCTAATAAATTTAACGAAGGAGGTGCAGCTATATTACAAGAACTTAATAAAAATCATCATAAAGTTATTGAAGGTATAAAATTTAATAATCCCTTATTAATTAATAAAACTTCGACTTCCTAATCGCTCATAAGTTATATTAGCTAAACAAAATAAACCGGATGAACATAACCCATGAGCAATTATCAAAGTGTAAGATCCGCATAAACCTCAATAAGTTAAAGTTATAAGGCCTCCTTAAACCAATTCCTATGTGAGCTACAGAAGAATATGCAATTAAAGCCTTTAAATCAGTTTGTCGTAAACAAACTAAACTAATTAATACCCCACTAATTAAACTAATTCTAATTCAAATATAATTATATTTAACCCCACTCAACTGTAAAAAAGAAAATACTCGCAATAAACCATAACCCCCCAATTTTAATATAATACCTGCTAAAATTATAGAACCAGAAACTGGAGCTTCAACATGAGCTTTAGGTAGTCATAAGTGAACTAAAAATATTGGTATCTTGACTAAAAATGCTAAAATTACAGTTAAATATAATAAGTCATAATTAAATAAATAATTATTCAAAAGAAAAAAATTCAATGTTATTATATTATTATATAAATAAAAAATACCAACTAATATTGGTAAAGAAACTAATAAAGTATAAAATAATAAACATACACCAGCTTGTAAACGTTCAAGTTGATACCCTCATCCTAAAATTAAAAATAAAGTAGGAATTAATCTTCTAAATAATCTTAATAAATAAAATAAAAACAAATTTATACTAGCAAATCTTAAAATTACAAATAATAAGAAAATTAAAATATTAAATAAAAATAAATTCCTTTAATTATCAAATTTATTAACAGATTCACTAGCAGTAGTTATAAGAGTACAAATTCAAAATCTTAATAAAATTAATCCATAAGAAATTGTATCAAATCCTAATAAATAAGAAATATATACAAAATATTAGTACAACAATTTATTATAATAAATAACAATGTAACCAAAAATATTAAATTTTGACCCTTCAAAATGAACTATTATTAAAACAAATTGGACTAATAAAAATTATTATAAAAATTGATTTTAACATTGTAAAACATTAAATGATTGAAAATAATCATTTCCATGAGTACAAATTATTGAAACAAGAATTAAAAGACCTAATGCACCCTCACAAACTCTAAAAGTTAATAATATCATACTAAAAAATCTTCTAACATTTATTAAATTTAAATAAATAAATAATAAATTTAATACAATATATTCTAATGTTAAAAGCATTGATAATAAATTCTTTCGATAAGAAACCAATATAAAAACTCCAATTAAATATAAAAAACAAGGTAATCCTCAATAAAATATTGTTAACATTAGTTTTAATAGTTTAATAAAAACATTGGTCTTGTAAAACAAAAATAAGATTTTATCTTTTAAAACTTCAAGAGAAAAGTTAATCTATATATATATAAAAATGGTGTGAAAAATGTATAGTAATTCATCAATTGAGAACGGTTGGGGCGATTTGGCAAAATTTTTTGTTTAGTTGTTCGTAATTGCCAGGAGAAGGTTTTTACGAAAGAAAATTTTGAGAAAACTTTCCGGGAAGGTTGGAAATTGGAAAAATCTAAAAGTTATTTTTTTGTATGGAATTTTTTGTGCAATTCTTTCGGAATGGCTTTCGAATGGAAAAATAGAAAATTCTAACTAGAAAACTCGGAAAAATTCGCAAGGACGCGAAAAATTTGAACATTTTTACGACGAAATTTTGCATTTTGTCGGATGATTTGATGATTTGGGATTTGATGATTTTGTAAAGGTGGAAAATTCGTTGTGAAGCTTGGAAAATTTCGGATAATTGTGAAATTCATTGTGAGGTTGAATCAATTGGGAACAATTTTCTCCTATGTTTCATAACCGATTCGAATGGTTGCTGCTTTTTTGGAAAGGTGGTTAGAAGGAGAAGTGTACAAAGTTTTAATTTTCCGATAGGGGGCGCAGGGGTTGAGCTACGCTAAGAGCTACGTACGTAGGTAGCCTTTCGCCTAGATTAGCATATAGGATTCATTTTTTCCGTTAAGTTGGCCAGGCATGTAGGTAGCTTATTGCCAGGATAAAAATATAGGACACTTTATCTGATAGGTGGACCAGGGACCGATCTATACCAAAAAATCTTATTTATGGCCCGATTTGCTTTAAATTCGATACCCGTATTATAGATATGCGTAGAATAGAATTGAGTCATTATTTTACAGTTCGAAAGGTTTTTGAAAGCGCCGCAAACATGCGGGTGTTGGCTATTTAGCAATACTTATTACACAAGCCAGCAAATATATAAAAAAAAACTTTGATGCAGCAAATGTTAACGCTATTTTCGACGTAAAATTTCCATCAGCCCCAGATTTTAAGAAAAACGAGGTCAAAGTGTCAAAAAATCGGGTTTTTTTCAATATTTGAGAAACTCTAGCAAAGAAACAAAGAGTTGTAGAACCTCCCACTTAGACTTAGATTAAAGCGAAAAATCTCGACTACTATCCCTGCAAAAACTGATTTTGGGAAGTTTGAGTACCTACCGCAATTAAGCAAAAGGTGTTGTAGGGGGTTTAAAGAAGCGTTTTTCTAAACCACAATTTAACAAACCGTATTAGCAAAGATTTATTATCTCATTTGAGCTGTGCAATTAAAATATGCGAAATGAGCAAAGTTACCGAAAATGAACTTAACACGTCTTGGTGGTCAACAGAATAGAGGTGGGTAACTCAACTCAGAGTTGAGTTATTGAGTTGATTCCTATAAGTGAATCGGTAACTCAGACTCCCTGTCCAAAAAAAATGTAACTCAGTAACTCAGTTGATGCCGTAGGGCTCACATGAATCAATTGAATCATAGTGGCTCATATTTGTCCATATAACTCTCTCGCTTCGCCACAGTGTTTAGCATGGCAAAGTCTTGCATTTTGTTTTTGCACGAGGCGAATTTATACAAGGTGGTGGCAAGAATACAACAAGAACAACCACATGTATTTTGTATTGCGGGTGTTATGTCAAATCTCACAAATTCTTATAATTTC